TTTTTTTTTTTTTTTTTTTTTTTTTTTTTTTTTTTTTTTTTTTTTTTTTTTTTTTTTTTTTTTTTTTTTTTTTTTTTTTTTTTTTTTTTTTTTTTTTTTTTTTTTTTTTTTTTTTTTTTTTTTTTTTTTTTTTTTTTTTTTTTTTTTTTTTTTTTTTTTTTTTTTTTTTTTTTTTTTTTTTTTTTTTTTTTTTTTTTTTTTTTTTTTTTTTTTTTTTTTTTTTTTTTTTTTTTTTTTTTTTTTTTTTTTTTTTTTTTTTTTTTTTTTTTTTTTTTTTTTTTTTTTTTTTTTTTTTTTTTTTTTTTTTTTTTTTTTTTTTTTTTTTTTTTTTTTTTTTTTTTTTTTTTTTTTTTTTTTTTTTTTTTTTTTTTTTTTTTTTTTTTTTTTTTTTTTTTTTTTTTTTTTTTTTTTTTTTTTTTTTTTTTTTTTTTTTTTTTTTTTTTTTTTTTTTTTTTTTTTTTTTTTTTTTTTTTTTTTTTTTTTTTTTTTTTTTTTTTTTTTTTTTTTTTTTTTTTTTTTTTTTTTTTTTTTTTTTTTTTTTTTTTTTTTTTTTTTTTTTTTTTTTTTTTTTTTTTTTTTTTTTTTTTTTTTTTTTTTTTTTTTTTTTTTTTTTTTTTTTTTTTTTTTTTTTTTTTTTTTTTTTTTTTTTTTTTTTTTTTTTTTTTTTTTTTTTTTTTTTTTTTTTTTTTTTTTTTTTTTTTTTTTTTTTTTTTTTTTTTTTTTTTTTTTTTTTTTTTTTTTTTTTTTTTTTTTTTTTTTTTTTTTTTTTTTTTTTTTTTTTTTTTTTTTTTTTTTTTTTTTTTTTTTTTTTTTTTTTTTTTTTTTTTTTTTTTTTTTTTTTTTTTTTTTTTTTTTTTTTTTTTTTTTTTTTTTTTTCACTCTCACTTTCCTTTCATATTCAGCCATCAATGTACGTTTTGACAAGCATTTGTGCATTTGTGTATGTGTCTAGTGTACTAGATGCACTTTATTCCAAACTTCAATATTTATGTACATATTTATGTACTCTTGTAGTAACAGTCCTTGACTGTTTTTAAAAGTGCATACATACATTTGTGAAATTGCACATCTTTACCAATTTCCAGTGGATAGATATGTGGGAGAATGCATACATGATGGATTATATGTTTGTTCTTATGGCAATTGCTTACTTGTTGTTACTGCTGGATATTATACCACATGTAAAGAATGTTTGTTGTATGGTTTATCATTCATAGTTTTACCGAGTCCAAAGTATGTGTATATTTGTGCACTATCTTATGAAATATCAAAAGGGAAACTGCTGTAACCTCCATGTTTCTTAAAATTTGCTTTTAAAGAAAGGTTTGCAAAAAAGTTCTTGCACTTTTGTGTAAATTTTACATGCGTGGAAGAGTTAAGCAGTGTGTTTGCATTTGCAGCAGGTGGAGCAAAGATCAAGTCCATAATATCAAAAATATAACCCCTCTTATCTGTGAGATATTTTCCATGCACACAGTTTTACAGATACATAATCATTTGCATTAAGCCTCACTTCAAATGATTATGCTTGTGTAAATTTGCGGGTGTATTTTTCCATATGTCTTCTTGGATATTATCTGTGTCTTCTAAAGCATTGCAGGGTAACATTTCTATTCCTCATATTGTGAATTGGTATTATAAATGTGTGTGCAAAGGAAATGCATTATGCAGATATGAAGTTGTCAGCATTTTATCAATAGCAGCAGCATTTATGTTTGAATTAGTAATGAATGCTGAAAATGTGTACCTATCTTTCAGATGATTGGTCTTATTTTTTTTCACTCTCACTTTCCTTTCATATTCCGCCATCAGTATACATTTAAACTGGTTTCTTGAAAAAATATTAATCCTGAAAGCTGCATACTCTGGCAATTATCTGTAGGTATTTTGTGTGTGCACATTTTTTTTTTGTTTGAGGTGATATGTGAGTGTGCGCCTCTATGTTTGTTTGTGTTATTGCATGTGTGCATGGACCTGTGTATGTGTGTATCTTTGTCTGCATATTGGTGTAAGTGAATGTGTTTGACTTTATTTGTGGATGATTATGATTTTTATTCTTTTGCTAATTTTTTTATATATATATATATTTTATTTATATATATTGTTTGCAATGTAATGTTTGAAGGTGATATTAATGATGGTGCTTTTTATCATACTTATGTGCACATTGCATCTTTCATAATCAGGAATGTCCTAGGTTAGTGAAAATGGTGGTAGCTTACTTACCTCAACAAAGTTATATGCTTATACTAGAAGTAAGAATGGTTCAGAATTTTTATGAAATGTGGAATAATTTGATTAATGTGAATACAAAAGCATCAGCTTCATCAGAGTTGGATTTTGATGATAGTATGCTAATTCTTTAATGTTGATTTAAAAATGCTTCACAAAGATTATACTGTTTTGTTGTTTATTTGTATTACTGTTGCTGTTTTTTTATTTTGCTGTTATTTCTTTCATTAAGAGGGAGAAAGTTAAATGATCAGAACTTAGCTTGTTGCTTCCCATTGAACTTTGCTGTTACTTCCCTTAAATTAGGTTTAAGGTAAAGATTGATATGTCCTGGTAAAATGCAGCAAAAATAACAAAAAAGAAAATCAAACAATTCTTCATTTACAGTGACACTTTGGGATAGCTGATATCTGAGATAGTAGTCCATTAGATGAGTAGGAAGATGTGCAAGGGTTGTAATTTTTGATTTTGGGTGTTTTTGTTATCCGTTTTTATGTTTAGTTACTAATATCTGGTTATTTATAGGGCTTCATTGTATCAGATTTACCCCTGGCTAAATGCGTTGTGATCTCTTAACAAATAGCCAGTGAAATTGCTTCAGGTTTTTTGCTTTTGAGCTTCTGGTGGAAAATGTAATGTTAACTTTATTTGGAATCCAAAAGAATGATCATTTGTAAAACTACTCACTGATATAGATTTTAATAAACATGCCAAAATGGGTAAATGTTTTATAAATACTGAAGTTTTATGTATGTTAGTAGGTTATCATAATGGTGATGGTAATTATGTCATTGTTATTTTTTTTTTTATGTTTGTTGTTATTATTATTGCTGTATTTACTGATTCCGTAAACATCATCATTAATATTCTTTCATGACATTAATTATTAGATAGTAATGATATGATAAAAAGTAAGGATGATTCAAATAATAATTATTTGTATTGTTAATGCTAATAACAAAATTGTTTAAGTTCTAGGTTTCTGATTATTACGGTTTTCTCTGCCGGTGGTGTTCAGTCACATGGTATAATTTCAAAGTTATACTGAACAACATAAAGCCCAATTATGGCTCTATGTAGGTCCTTATTACACTTTGTAAAAGTAGTTAGAGTGTTGTTTTCTTACTTTTATAAAAAGTGAAATGTAATTGGCTTTGTGAAGATACGTAGCAAACTTGACTTCACCAGCAGTCTAAAGTGCATTGTGTGCTTTTAGGGAGATTAATTTGTCCATTGTAAGCTGAAGAAAAGCAATTGACTCAGAGGTGTGGTTTGAAGTGTTTGATTTTAAATTGTCTTTCTCGAAATACCACAGCGTCACCCCCCATAGCTCATCTGCAAATTGCAATGTATAAGGGTATGTCAGAGGTGAAGCCTTGATGTTTGTCATATAATGGCAAGTTCATTTTGATTATTCGACTCTGTAATTTTGAGGTTAGTGGCAGCCCACTGAACATTGTGGTATTGGGATGCATATACTGATACTTGCATGTACAGATTGTCTATTGATGGAATCCTCTGATGGGTCAACCAACACACAAGTTACAGTTGAATTAGTAAATATATGGAGTGGCACAACAGGAGCTAGGAATTTTCTAAATATGATGGTCCATTTTTGTTTGAAAGATATGGCTTAACATTTACCAATTTAGCACAATTAAATTTTGGTGAAATTTTGAGATTATTCCCTCTATACAGACAACTCTATTGCCTTTAATTTGAAAGTGATACTTAACAACTGATACTTTTATTTTTTCTCTCTTGTACAATGCAAGTATGAGTATTTTTTTATTTTTGTATTGTTAATCAACTTACAGGAATGATGGATAACTCTGGAACTTTTATTTAAAGCTGTCAGTAATCGGCCAAGTTTCTGTTATTTTTGTATTCGCATTAAACCTTCAAGAAAAATAGCAACATAAGATATTAACCTTAGTGTTAAAGGAAATGAACTAACCATCACATTATAATGTTTTTATTGATAGATTTAAATAAGTAGCCCTATTTTGTGCCAACACCCAGCAAGGATACACACCTCCAGCACGCACATACACACACACACACACGCACACTGTGACAGAAAGAACAAAGAAATCAAATTGAACTTGTAGGTGACGTGGTCCGGAAATATGCCCTTGAGAAGGAAAATAGTAGCTAATGCTAGTTTTCACCTCAGTTTTAAATCATAAAAAATGCATGTAAGCATTTTGTTTCATCTCTTTTAGGCTATAAGTAGGATTGCTCATAGTTATTATTTATGACATGTGCTTTTCAATAATGAAAGCAGTCAAAGTGGAAACCAACTGAGAAAATGCTTGCTTCCACTAAAAAATAATCATTATATACCTGTGTATATCATTGTCTGTCTATTCATCAGATACACATAGAATGCATGTTAATCTAGAAAATTAATTAGAAAGGTTTAAAATAACTATTAATAACTCAAAAACCCTTTGACTTTTATAGACTTAAATTGAATAATGCCACAAAAACATATTCAAGTAATTATTAAGGGGTTACATATAGAACAAATTCTTAGAGACATTAAACCTATTTTAAGAAAATGTATTTAGGAATATTTACTTTCATGAAATACATTATGTCCTGATGAAATAAATATTCTTGGAATTAAAGACTTAATGCTGTTTTATTATGAAATTGCTGCTTCATAAATACAGTCTGATTTTTTTTTTTGTGAATTTGAATGTGTTCATTTTTTGTTCCCATTATTTTTATCACTAATTTAGGGCTTACCATCAGTGCATAAA